AGGGGAGCCAGCAGGCTGCAGCAATAATTCAGAGGTGTCAGTGTCATCAGATATATCATAAATTAGAGGGCTGGCTGGTTAGTTCAGTTGGTTAGAGCACAGCCAAGGTCATGGGTTCAGATCCCTGTACCAGCCAGCCACCAGGAAGAAAAAAAAAGTTACTGTAAATTAGAAATAGTGATTTATATACATTATCTCTAACCTCCTCAAAATCTCTATAATGGAAGTATTATAATTCTCATTTTATGGAATAAGAAACTGAGCTTGGAAAGATTTGGAAACTTACCCACCTACAGCCACAAAGTGGGAGATCTGAGAGTCGCACTCCTACCTGGCTGAGCTGTGCTTCCTCTGACGACCTCATGCCCACGTCACTAGCTAGCAAAGGGGGAGAAGGGAGTGGCAGAGGGGAGGGCTGAGCACGACTACACGAGTTCTTCACTTCTGGCCTCCCCAGCTTTGTAGGTAACTGCGTGCGCTTTTCATCTCTTCCGAGTCAAAGAGGCATCTGATGTCATGTTGCGCTGGAGTGTAACTAGGTTTCCAAAAGCAGTGGGAACTCCTGGAGGCCTATTTCCAGGAGCTGTCAAAACAGGACAGTAGTATTTCAGGGTCACAGGCTTTCTTTCCACCATTGTCCCAGGCCCTGAAGCACAGATTCTCCGGCCAGACACAAGCTCCCAATTTTCTACCACCCTCTTCTCTGATTTCTGGCCCAAGGCTCCATGATTTTAGGGAATTGTAGTGTCCCTTGAGTTGGTATCTTGGATAGGCTCAGAGTGTCTCTCTGGCTAGGACTGTAGGCTCTGTGAGAGGAGGGACTGTGTCCATTCAGTGCTTTGCCTTGCATAATACCTAGCACAAGTGGGTACTTAATCAGTACTTCTGAATGAACAAATGACTGCAAGTTAAAATTTAGAAGCCAAAAAGCCATAACGTTCTAAAAAATAAACCAAAGTTAGTCATACACTCAGCATCAGTGTAAGAAAGTCAGGCTATCTTGGCCCTTAGAAGAAGCATATTACATACAACATTTCTTTTAATTGCCTTAAATAACTTTAAAATAGCTTCAAATGTGTATCAGGAGTAAATTGATGATATGCAAGCATGGTTCAGAACATGTAGTGCTTTATGACAGCTTGAATTGCTTTTATTGATTTTTTTTTTTTTTCCTATTTCTTTTTTGGCAGCTGGCTGGATGGTACCCTAGACCTCGGTGTTATCAGCACCACGCTCTAACCAACTGAGCTAACTGGCCAGCCCTGAGCTGCTTTTAAAAGGTCCCTGGGAAGACTGAAGGATAGACAGAGTATATTTATTTAATATACTGAAATCATCTCTGCCTTTGGGGTAATTGGTTTTGGAGCCTGTCCTAGTTAAAGCCTCTTAGTGAATTTAAGCAGTGAACTACAGGGCATAAAGGTGTGGTGTGAAGGGTCTGGGAAGCGCTTTGCCTGCCAAATGAACTTGAGAAGGCACGTCTGGTGATAAAATGATCCCCCCAAGGGACTGGGATTATTCTTCCCATAGGGATTCCGACTGCCTCCAACACCCTTACCACTTATGAAGCACTGACCTCCTTTCTTAGAAATGGTTCATTCCATCTGTCCCCATAACTTTGTCAAGTACTTGGGGGTTGGGAAATAACATATCCTCAGCTTAGTCAAATGGAAGGGCAGTCTAGGTAGAAAGCCATAAAGCATTCCAGTTGTTAGTATAAAGTAATTTCTCTATAGTGTGCTTGTAGTGATGATGTAGGTGTTGATTATTTTCTTAGGCTTGAATTCTGCACCCTTCCCTCAATCCCAGGAGTTCCTGCTCCTGTTGCCTTTAGAATCCTTATTGTAGAATAACCTAATTTTTAAAAAATCCAAGTCCAAAACTAGACAGTATATGACCCGTCTCTTTCCAGGAAAAAAAAAAAAAATCCCAAATAACCGATAACTTCAGACTAGAAACATAACTCATTCCTTTATAATTCCTGAGTGCAGAATAATAGCAAATAATAGGATTATAATGAAATCATAGCAGGTATGCTGTTAACAGAATTTGGAACAGCCAGAGGAACAGAAGATTAGTTTTCAATAAGAATGCCTCTTTCAAACTCTCATTAAGATTTTTAAAATTAAGATAATTTCAAAATCTCATTAAGATTAGAGATATTAATGAGATTTGGGCAGGTTTCTTTGAATCTAGCATGTCATATCATGTGCCTTGGCAAGTACCTGCGTAGTTCAGATTTCACAACAGGATTCCCAGAAAACATTCTGTTTTAAGAGCTAGGCTTGTATTCTTGGAGCACATGGAAAGCCAATCTGTTTTCTTACAGTCAAGATCAGCAGAACTACAATCACCTTATATGAATTATGTCTAGAAGCATTTGTTTTCATAACAGAAAAAAAATTGTATTATAGACAAGAGGGATCGAAGAATCACTCATCTAAATTCCACTTCCCAAGTAAGTCATTTTGGTTTATTTCTTTGTCTAAAAAAGTGAAAGCAAGTAATGAAAGACTACATTCCCATGATAAGAAACATGTACTCATACAGTAAAATATTAAAGTTTTCTCCCTCCCCAGAGAAACACTGTTGACTGTTTGAAATAGTGCCAAACTACGTTTAAATGCATATGTAGATATATACATATGTATATAAATATGAAGTGGATTGTGGAATATATATTATTCTACGACTTTCGTTTTGTCATACAATATTGTATCTTAGAACTCTTTCCATAACAGTATGTAGAAATCTACTGTATCGTTTTGAATAGATGCAGAGTATTCCACAGGCTCAATGTACAGTAATTTATTTAATGCTTCCCTACTGATAGATAGTTAACTTGTCTCCAGTTATTATGATCATGCTTCAGGAAACACCCACATACATGCATCTTTGGGCACGTGAGCATATGTGATTATTTCTCTAGGGTACATTCCTAGAAGTAGAATTGCTGGGCCAAACAGGATGTGCTTGCTAACACTGGTTATAATCAATCTTTTAAAATTTTACCAGTCTGATAGATTAAAAATATTTCATTATTTAGATTATCTTTTATCTTTAATTTTTTAAGATGTAGTTTTCTACTGGGTCTTGTTTTTTTCACTTTTATTCCATAAGTATTTTTCTATATACGAACAGTAGGAAATGATTATAGTCAAATATGTATTTATACATAACACAATCATCTTTGTGCATTTAGCTTTTCTATATCTTGGTTACTTCTTTAAGCTAAATGCCTACAAAGTAGTCATGAGTTTTATTAGTCCAGCTTCTGTTGCTGTAAGAGAATACCTGAGACTGGGTAATTTACAAAGTAAAGAGGATTATTTAGCTCACGATTCTGGAGACTGGGAAGTCCAAGAGCATGGCAACAGCACCTATTTGGCCCCTGGTGAGGGCCACATGCTGCATCACAACGTGGCAGAGAAGCAGAAGGGGAAGTGGACATGTGCAAAAAAGACCAAACACAAGAGGCAGCCTTGCTTTATAACAACCCGTGCTTGCAGTAACTAGTCCAGTGCTACGAGAACTAAACCAGTCTTCTGAGAAAGACATTAATCCATCTTAACAACGCATCCACCTCTAAAGATACTACCTCCTAACACTGCCACACTGCTACATAGGGGACCAAGCTTCAACATGAGTTTTGGTGGGAACAACCCATACATATTCAAACCATAGCATAAATCAATGTTATTTTTTAGAGATTTAAATGTATTTAGGTTTTCTCACATTTCTTTACTAATGGTTGCTCAGCATCCCAAGTTCTAAGTTGCTTAACGACAAGGATATGTTCCGAGAAATGCATCTTTAGGCGATTTTGTCATTCTGTGAACATCATAGAGTATTACACAAACTGAGATGGTATAGCCCACTGCTTAGCTAGGCCATATGTCATAGCCACTGTGGTATATGATCTGTCGACTGAAAGCTGAGGCAGCGCATAACTGTATTTATGCTTTTGTTGAGTATTCATTAGTGTCTAAATGTTCAGTCTTTAGGCTGTGCCAATAGGGATGAGCAAATGTACTGATTTTTTTAAGGATACACAGTTGATTAAGTATGATAACTTCAGTGTGGTGTCCAAGACACATCATTGGTGTCTTCCAGTCAGTATTTATAAGGTTAAAGGGTATCTGAAATACACATTAGATGGCAATAAGGGTTGATAATTTGCCCTTCAAAAAAGTGAGATAAATCTAGTTTTCCTTCTGTAAGCAGCTCCTCTGCTAGCATACATTCAATGGTTACCCATTCAGTCAAGTCTAAATTTCTTACCCTCAAGGCCTTGTAATGAGAGTCCTATTTAACTCAGCCTTTTTTTTTTTTTTTTAAGAAATTTTAGGAGTTGATCAAAGGGCAATAGATATGCACAAAAATGAGTATGTAAAGATGTACTTTGCAGCTTGTTTATAAGGACCCTTGGGAGGAATTTCTAGCCTTACCAATATGAATAGTTATTTTCCTAAGTATCTGGTTAGTTTTTATTTGATGAAATCTTACAACTATTTGTGTTTTCCTTTTTGCATTGGCTGCTGAAAGGCTGGGTCAAATTTGTGGTCTGCCTCTAGAAAATATTTAAGACTTCATAGCACAGATGAATCTCACTGCTTGATCCATTGTCCTTTGCCCCTGAGGATAATGTAGATTTCCATTAGAGGTTTCCTTTAATGGGCCATAGTGAGTGTTTATCCACATACTTCATAGTAAGTTTCCCATAAATCTAACACAGCTGCTCAGATGGTCTGATTGCCCTTTTTTTTCTCTCTTTGGCTGCTTTTCTTGAGAAAATGCTGATGAGTAAAATTCTCTACCTCATCACATAAGGAAAACAATGTTCTTATCTTTTCCAACTCTATAACAGAAAATAGGAAGTAACTAAAGAATTTAGTTCACTGGGACATAAAACTAGAGGGATTCTCCTTGCTTGATGCTTGCAAGTTTGTTTGATGGTTTGAGTTCAATATTCTTAAAGTATGTCCTTTTTTTTTTCCTAGGTGAATGTTGGATGTGTACCCAAAAAGGTAGAATTTTTATTTTTCCTTCCTTCCACACTTATTTTTCTATGTGGTAAATCATGTGCAGAATAAGGATGTTTCTAAATATATCAGTTAATTCTTTCTGCAAAAAATAACTGAGAACCCAACTAAAAGTGGCTTTAGTGTCACTTAGTAAGAAGTCTGGGAGGGCTGGCCATTAACTCACTTGGTTAGCGCACAGTGCTGTTAATAGCACCAAGGTCAAGAGTTGGGATCCCCATGCTGGCCAGCCACCGGGGGCGGGGGAAGCCTGGAGATAGGCAGCTCCTGAGATTGGTGTGGCACTTAAGGAAGCGGAAGGGAGCCTGGCTTCCAACTCCTTGCCATTCTGCCATCCTGGGTGTACAATCAACAGTGACCCTACCTGGTAGCCACAGATAGCTCCAGGCATGATGTTCTCATCCTGCAGTGTCTCTGCAGATTGCTTTATGTCCTCCTGGTCAGGATTAAGCTACCCCTATAGGAGAGACTGGGCAAATGGGTGGCATTTTCAGCTAGGAAGAAGTACAGGAAGGGCTGCTGGGGAGATAACCTCAGAAATACTAGCTCCTGGACACTAACTACATGACGCATGCAAAAGAAATTCATCCTGAACATTCACCATGTGGTAAGTTCTCACAGCAACCAAGTTCCTGTGATGGACACGTAACCGGGATTGGAAGACAGTGGTCCTGAACTTCTGACGGTCTAGCAGGAACAGAGACCATCAGAATACCTCTGTAGTCTTGGCATGAAAGAAGAGCACCACCCATCTACACAGGATAACTTTTCCTCGGTGGGGAGGTACAGACAGGAAGTAAAGTTTGTATCCAACTCTCAGTGTTGATGTGACCAAGTTAGTAAGTAGATGAGGGCACCAGATGGATGTTTCTTCCATGCGTGGCTCTGGTCACCTAGCCGGTGTCCTGGGTGACTGTGCAGAGTATAGGAGGTTTGCCACAAGCCATCGGCTCTGTCACCTGCTCCAGTGCAATCTCTGAATCAGTTTTTCTCAGGGAGACTAGAACCATCTTTCTCCCGGAAAGATGGGTCAAGATTGCTGTAGGTTTTTGTTTGTTTTATTTTGTTGGTGGTAGTTTTTGGTTTTAAACACAGAAATATATCTCCCTATAAATAATTCATTTAAAAATTATGGCCCGGTGGCGCACTCGATAGAGTGCGGCGCTTGGGAGTGTAGTGGCGCTCCCGCCCAGGGTTCGGATCCCATATAGAGACCGGTCCGCTCACTGGTTGAGTGCAGTGCGGGCGCGACACTGAGGGTTGCAATCCCATTACCGGTCACGAAAAAAGACAAAAAGGAAAAAAAAAATTATGTATAGGGCCGAGCCCATGGCGCACTCGGGAGAGTGCGGTGCTGGGAGCACAGCGGCACTCCGCCGTGGGTTCGGATCCTGTATAGGGATGACTGGTGCGTTCACAGCGCTCACTGGCTGAGCGCGGTGCGGCCTCTCAAAAAGGACACACAAAAAAATTATGTATATAATTTGGGTGTCTCAGGGCCACTCTAAGGTTGAGTTTATCAAGTTGCTTGAATGGCATTCCTAGGTACAGTATATGGATACATTTGTGGGAAGTAGTCACCATCTTTGCTGGTCCAGAAATTCAAGTGTATTGGTTCACTCAGGAGTGATCAAACAGACCAGTGAATTGATTACCTGACATCACAAGGAATTGTTTTATGAAATGATGCATTGGTTTATTAGTTCAGAGAGAGTGAGATTATATCTGGGCCTAGTAATTAAGACTGGTCATCTACACCACAGGATAGTTTTTTCTCAATAGGGAGACCCAGCCAGCAAACTAGATTGTTGAATGGACTCTTCTTAAGTATTCCCATTAAGTGTTGTAGTCTCATGGATTCTCTTTACCACATTATTGATTGTTTGGTCTTAGTAGCTGTGGCGCAGGTCACATTGTCAAGGGTGAAGAATGAGTTTATTCAAAGAGAAAAAACCCCAGCAGCTTTTACTTCCAAAGCTGCCTTTTGCTTATAGTTGCAAATAATTTTACTCATTGTACTTTCAAAACATGTTACAATCCTAAACTGATCAACTTTTGTTAGTGAGATTGAGTTTCAAATTGGCAGCTTTTTGTTATCTTGTAAGCAAATATCCTAAGCTTATCAGTGATGCACACCTCAGATTAATTCCAGAAAGGTTTTCTGAATCTGTTCCCTAGTATAGGTAAATTTTTTTCTCTCTGTCTTAGGAAGATTTCTTTTTTCCTCTGAGACATTTTTCCTCAAGTAGTGTATTTCCTTTCCTTTTAGTCCTACTTTTTGGAATCTGTTCTGTTTGGAATTATGCAATTATGGATATATGAATTATGTAGGTTAATTATAAAGTGGTTTTATGTAGTTTAAACCAATTATGGTAGTAAATTCAGTGTTGATTGGTGCTACCTCATTATTTTAAAGATACCACTGAGCTAATTCTGCACAATAACCTGAATTTGTGATATTTTGTTCCCATATATTATGTTTCACTTACTCTTTCTGATCACATGTGATAGACATTTATCTTACATTTTTATGGAGCTCTGTTGATTTCAAAGCGCTTTGCATTCTTGAGGATCAGTTGGTAATTGACTCTCAGTAGGTAGAACAGATGGAAGCCCAGAGTAACTCCCCCTGCCCCAGAGGCAGAGTGAAGCGGCAGTAGAGAAAGAACCAGAAGGATGGGCCTGCTTGGCCCCCACAACCCTGACTGGGTCTGAGCCTACAAGCTCAATGCAGTTCATGAAGACGTGCCCTCTCCAGAGGGTGTTTGGTGCTATAGAGTCACACATAATGTGAATTGGAAGTAAAATTAATAAGCTGCCTCATGATACGAGGTAAAGCAATGTTTATTAACATAGCATAATTTATTTGTGGTATTGATAAATCTTCCATATGTATTATTTAAGATAGAGAATCTAGCTTATAAAGTGGTTAATTCTGTTACATGAATTTCACCTTGATTAAAAAATCTAGCAGAGTCATCAATTTATTCACCTTTAAAAAGGTACAAAGCCGACATCTAAGCCTTGTCAAAAATGGATCTAGGCCGGCCCGGTGGCGCACTGGATAGTGCGCCACTTGGGAAGCACGGCGGCGCTCCCGCCCAAGGGTTTGGATCCCACATGCGGACCGGTTCCCGCTCACTGGCTGAGCGAGGCGCAGGAGCAACACCGAGGGTTGCGATTCTGTTGCCGGTCCCCGGTCCGGTACGGGGGCAACACTGAGGGTTGCGATCCGTTGCCGGACATGGAAAAAGACAAAAAAAAAAATGGATCTAGAGGGCCGAGCCCGTGGCGCACTCGGGAGAGTGCGGCGCTGGCCCGCCGCGGGTTCGGATCCTGTACAGGGATGACTGGTGCACTCACAGCGCTCACTGGCTGGGTGCGGTGTGGCCGGTCTCAAAAAGGACAAAAAAGAAAAAAAATGGATCTAGAGTTCTGGATACCAATTTGAGTTCAGTTATCAGTTACCATCAAGACCTTTACAGATTCTAGGCTACGTTCTGCAATAGATGCATTGAATCTTTGAGTCCCAGTTGTCGAGTTACATAATCCTTACCAAGAGCATGTTCTCAGTTACTGAATACCTAATAGGATTTCATTCTCATAAAAATTTCAGTCCTCAACTTTATTTATAGCTTTTTCTAAGTCACTTTCCTGTAAAATTACAGATGTAATTCCATTTCCTGAAACTAAATCATAAAAGGGCAGGGCTTAAAGAAATCTAAAACTTCAGAAGAGAATGTATGCAATAATGTTTTAAAGGAAGGACTATGGGACCTATAATCTGCTTTTACAGCGTTTGTAAGCTAGGTAATTAAACAGTAGAAGTAAATATCCCCAACATTTCAGAAGCCTCACTATAAAATCTATCTGGTCATATTTCTGAACTTTCTCTTTTATTTTTATTTTATTTTGCCTTACCTTACTTAATTTTTGGTGGCTGGCTGGTACAGGGATGGAACCCTGGATTTTGGTGTTATCAGAACCGTACTCTAACAAACTTTCTCTTAAAATGTTTAATTTTGTTTTTAATTTAAAGGTCAGTATTTTTACCTGCTATTACATAGTTACCATTCATTCATGATTTCTGTCTTCCCTCAGGACTCATGTACTACTATTTGGGGTACTTTTTTTTTTTTTTTTTTTTTTTTTACAGGTAATGTGGAACACAGCTGTCCACTCTGAATTCATGCACGATCATGTTGATTATGGCTTTCAAAGTTGTGAGGGTAAATTTAATTGGAGGTAAGTGTGAATGCGGGAGGGTTTAATTTACAAATTAGATATTTTTCTTTCACAACCAAGTGAGCCATAAACTTTTTTTGGAGGAGGTATTGTGGTAAAATATATATAACATAAAATTTACCATTTTAACCATTTTTAAGTGTGCAATTTAGTGGCATTAAGTACATTTACATTGTTGTACAACCATCACTACTGTCCATTTCCAGAACTTTTCCACCATGCCAAACAGAAACTACCCATTAAACAGTAGTTCTTCATTCTCCTCTCCTTCAGCACATGGTACCTCTATTCTACTTTCTGTCTGTGTGAATTTGCCTAGTCTAGGTACTTCATGTAAGTGGAATTATACAATAATTATGCCTTTATGTCTGGTTTATTTCACTTAGCATAATAACATTTTTAAGGTTTGTCCATGTTGTGGCATGTATCAAAACTTCATTCCTTTTTAAAGTGGTATATTTCCTTGTGTGGATTCACCACATTTTCTTTGTCCATTCATCTGTCAATGAATTTTTGGGCTGTTTCCACCTTTTGGCTATTGTGAACAATGCTGCTGTGAACATTAGTATACAAGTATCTGTTCAAGTCTCTGTGTCCAGTTCTTTTGGGTCTATGTCTAGAAGTGGAATTGCTGGGTCTCATGGCAATTCTATGTTTAACTTTTCAAAAAGCTGCCATAAATTTTTTTTTTTTTGTCTTTTTCGTGACCGGTAAGGGGATCGCAACCCTTGGTGTGGTGTCGCCCGCACCGCGCTCAGCCAGTGAGCGCACCAGCCATTCCTATATAGGATCCGAACCTGCAGCGGGAGCGTTGCTGCACTCCCAGTGCCGCACTCTCCTGAGTGCGCCATGGGGCCGGCCCATGCCATAAATTTTTGAAGCCATCAAGTTTGGAAAAAGTTTGAGCAAATTCATTTATTTAACAAATATTTAAGTGGCACTGGGCCAAAGCAGCAATCCTTGTCTTCTTTGCAGAAAGAGGATGCCAGGTGAGCATTCTCCCTGGAGTGGAGTAAGGGTCTTAGCTTAGGTGGAAGCAGATGGAGACAGGGAAGGGACGGCTGTCTTCAGAGACACACACTCACTCGGACTCTTTTTGACAGTCTATGATTCTGTGCTCTGAGGTGTTCAGGGACAGATGCCTTAGTTACTGAAAGAGGAAAATCCTGTTTCTGAGTACTGACTAAACTTTCATTGCAGTGTTATAAAGGAAAAGCGGGATGCCTATGTGAGCCGCCTGAACACCATCTATCAGAACAATCTAACCAAGGTGTGTATGCTGGGTTTTGAACTTTGAGAAGGAACCATTCTCTGCTGAGACACGCAACCAAGCCTGGCCAGACTAAAATGTAGCCTTTGGATATATCTCTTACTGTTTCTATTATTTTGTTTGTGATGAACAGTTATGAAGTTGACCTGTCAGAGCAGAAGCTTCTGGCCGGGTAGGCCAGTGGGCAGTGTGTGCCAGTGTCGGAAGACCAGGTCTCCCCGATGGCTGCCTCTTGGGTGGGGCTGGCCTCCACTTAGATTCAGAAATGAAGCACATGCCAGACTGATTTGTGTGGCAGTGTGCCAGTTTATTAAATTCAGGAGCACTGTCCGGCTGAAAGCCTGCCATTGTTCAGTCTCTCAGAACAGTCTCATCCTTGGTAGCTGGATCCACTTAGGAGACCAAATTATGATTCAGAAGATTGTTTTTATGAATGAAATCTGATCACAGAAATTGGGCAAAGGTATGTTTGCCTCTAGCAGTGTTGTCCTTTGTTATCCTGAGGCCTTTTCTGCCTCAGTGCTTTGATGTCATGCCTCTTCCATTGGGGACCATGCTGGTGACATTGACAAATTGGGTATCATGCACTTCTCCTTTTTCTTGACAGCAGATGTCCCACCACCCTTCACGTGTCTTTGTGGTCTCACTTTACAGTTTCTTTTTTTTTTTGTCTTTTTTCCGTGTCCGGCAACGGATCGCAACCCTCAGTGTTGCCCCCGTACCGGACCGGGGACCGGCAACGGGATCGCAAGCCTCGGCGTTGCTCCCGCGCCTCGCTCAGCCAGTGAGCGGGAGCCGGTCCGTAC